TAAAGCAAGACCTATGCAACAAGAGTTGAAGCTTTTGGATCAGATAAGGTCAGTCAGATCCTCTGGGAAAATTCCCAGTAGAAGAATAGCTGGTTAAAATGGGATTTCCAGTCCAATTTTTCTAAGGAGTCTCCACACTGATTTCCATAAGAGTTGCACCAGTCTACATTCCCACCAGCAGTGAAGGATTCCTTTTTCCCCACAGCCTCTCCAACATTTGTTGTTGGGTGATTTCTTTGATAGATATTCTTTCTGGGGAGAGATGATATCTCAGTGTTGTTTTAATTTGCATTTTGTGGATGGCTAGTGATGTGGAGCATTTTTTTCATATATTTATTCACTTCTTTAATTTCCTCCTCTGAAAAGCGTGTGTTCATCTTGGATGCCCATTTTTGGATTGGGTCTTTAAGTTTTGGGGCCCTAGTGTTTTTTAGTTCTTTATAAATTCTAGAGAGCAGACCTTTGTCTGAGTACTTATTTGTCGTGATTTTTTCCAAATTTGTAGGTTGCCTTTTCACTTTGTTGGTAATTACTTTTGATGTGAAAAAACTCAGTAAGAGCAGGTCCCAGTTACTAATTCTTTCAAGTGTTTCCTGTGCGATTTGTTTTTTGTTCATGAAGTCTTTGCCTACCCCTATGTCTTCAAGAGTTCCTCCTACTTTGTCTTCCAAGAGATTTAGTGTCTCTGCTTTAATGTTTAGATCTTTAATCCATTTTGACTTTAGTATAGTGCATGGTGATAGACCTGGGTCAAGTTTGAGTTTTCGGCATATAGAGAGCCAGTTTTTCCAGTACCATTTGTTAAAGAGGCTTCCTTCCAGTGGGTAATTTTGTCCCTTTTGTCAAAGATAAGGTGGCTGAGTGTGTTTGTGGGGGCTTCAGTGTCTTCTAATTTATTCCATTGATCCTCAGGTCTATTTTGTTGCCAGTACCATGCTGATTTTATCACAGTAGCCTTATAGCATAATTTCAAGTCAGGAATTGTAAGCCTCCTGCCTTGTCCTTATTGCCCAGGATTGCCTTTGCTATTCTAGGTCTTTTCTGTTTCCAGATAAATTTTAGGGATGATTTCTCTACCTCTGTGAGGTATGTTGATGGTAGTCAGATAGGGATTGCATTAAATGTGTACAGCAACTTTGGGAGTATGGCCATCTTCACAATGTTGGTTCTCCCTATCCAGGAGCATGGAATATCTTTCCATTTTCTGAAATCCTCTACAATCTCTTTATTCAGAGTACTGTAATTTTCATTGAAAAGATCTTTGACTTCTTTAGTTAGATGAATTGCAAGGTATTTCATTTTCCTCGGTCCTATTGTAAAAGGTATTGTTTCTATAATTTCCCTCTCA